CAAAAAGACATTTTGGTTGAAGAATAGAGAACAAGTACTAGAAAAAGACAATGCTAAGAAATGCATTTTAAAATTGACCAAATGTAATTGTAAAATCATCTAACTAATTTAAAACCCATTTGCAAGCAAAATGCCACTCTTTTGAATGATATGTTGGCTGTGCAGGCTGGTGGATCTTGCAGATGTTTGAGTTCAGCACTCTAAATGAAACCCAGCTGAATGTAAAACCATTCACAAACAAAAGCCAAATGGAAAAGAAAGCTACAGCGCTCGCTGAGTATTCAAGTGCTACGTGTGATTAAAAAGCTCAGACAGTTATGAAATATTATCACTCTCTGTGAGCAACTTCAGCACTGTTTTCATGGAAATACACACATGCACAAACAACACTCAAGCACAAAGAGCTCACTGGGGTTATTTGACACAGCTTTCGGCCAATGAACATTTTATCTGAATACTAGAAGCCTGAAGGAGCTTGTGGTCAGTGTTCATAAACTAAAGGTGGCTCTGACTGAGCTGGAAGCAACACAGGTTCCCTGTCTGCCAGTTCGCTAACATCTCAGAGCTCTTATGTAAAAGCTCTTGTTTGCCCTGTTTTGATTTAGAGGTATGGCCAAAACCTCATGCACCAAGAGCAATTTAGAAAAAGCAGAATTCATGACCAGACTCGGATGAAACATGAAACTAGATTTTTACATTTCACAAAATAAATTGTGACTGCTGTATTCCTATAAAGAGACTCGCCAATATGGTGTCATGGTGATTGCCAAAGCATTATTATGCGGTTGCTAAGGGCTTTCACCATGTTGCTAGGATGGGTGTTCCACATTGATATGCAGTCGCTAAGGTGTTCTGGGTGGTTACTAAGTGGTGTGGTGGGAGGAGCAAATGACAGACACAGTGGGTGTGGCGTCAGACCTCGGAGAGGCTTTTATTTAAAGGGGTCATATGATGCGATTTCAAGTTTTCCTTTCTCTTTGGAGTGTTACAAGCTGTTCGTGAATAGATAAGATCCCTAAAGTTGCAAAGACTAAAGTCTCAAACCCAAAGAGATATCCTTTATAAAAGTTAAGACTGGTTCACGTCCTCCTAAAACGCCTCGTTTAAACACACCCCCACATGTCTACGTCACGATGTGGGAAGATTTGCATAACACCACCCAAATGTTCACGCAAAGAAAGAAGGCATAACTTTATTGTTGCTGCCGCCGCCGCCACCATGTTGTGAAGATGCTGTGTGTTTCGTTGCAAAAGCGAAAATAGTTTGTTTGGCCTTCCAAAAGGGGATGCACTACATAATACATAATGCACTACATAATTTTAACGAGTACGAGTACAGGAGCTCAGTATCGGGCCCGATACCGATACCAGTAGTGCTGGAAAAAGTGGTATCGGTGCATCCCTAGTTTTATGTTTACGCGGCGAGATGCAACGCGTAAAAAGACAGTATAAGTCATTATAATCCGTAATTATGTCCCCACTGGTTGCAACAAATGCCTCGTTTATAATGGGTTTTTAATGTTTTTGTCTCGTCGCTCTGGGACACGGCATCACAATTTGGTAAGGGATGTAACATTTCCGTCACACGCTTAAGGTATTCGGCCAATCACAACGCACTGGATAGCTGGCCAATCAGAGCACACCTCGCTTTTCAGACCGATGAGCTTTCTAAAAATCGACGCGTTTCAGAAAGGCGGGGCGTAGAGGAGAAACAATAATGTACAGTATGTGGAAAATAATGTTTTTTGAACCTTAAACCGCATAAACACATTTCATTACACCAAATACACAAAATAATGTTCTTTTTAGCAACATCATATGACCCCTTTAACAGAAAATCAAACATAAAATGTCCAAAAAGGGAATAAATTGTTCTGAGGGGAAATAGTGTCCAAAATAAACAGGGGATCTGGTGTCCTCGTTGTGCCAAGGAAGTCGTGAAGGGAAGGGCAGTGTTCAGGAAGGAAGGGTCCAGGCAAGGGGTGTTGTCCGGCGGCCGCAAGCACTCCCCACTTTGGTCCGAGGTGCGAGGGGGCGGCGGCTTCTTCTAGCGGCTTCGTCCTGCTTGGCCCACGGCACTTCGCAGGGATAAACGGCCCGGCATCCTGGCCTGTCAGCCACTAACGGGTGCGGTTCTCGTCCAGACCGCGGGTCCGGCAGCAGCGGTGATGAGGCTCCATTCACTTCAGGTGTGCCTCATCACACGCCGCCAGACCTGGCTGTTTCTGCGCCCCTCCTCTCACACACCCACTCCTGTCGGGAGCCTTTTGAAGGGTGGCGATAAAGGGACGGGGTGATGATGATAATTAGGGGGAGGCAGCCGATCCGTCACAGTGGTTACTTAAATGGTCCATTTCAAAAGAGCCCAACCCAAGTCTCTATGATATTCTGATCTTTAGATATGGATTGATTCTCTCCTTCATTATACGTTTTTTTTTTTCCCAGCAGATTTATCAGCTGATAAATATATGTATGCTGCATGATTCACTCTCAGAAAAAAGGTACACAAGCTGTCACTGGGGCGTTACCTTTTTAAAAGGTATACCTTTGTTCCTAAAGGGTGCATATTGGTATCTTAAAGGTACTATTAGTACCTAAATTGTATTAGTACCTAAAGTGTAGATATTGAAAAGGTACTGCTCTAGTGGCAGCATTTTGTAAAACATTTTTAAATTTTTTTTTTTTTTCTTTCTGAGAGTGTTTGAGGTACCATTCATGTCTGTAGCACACATTTGTGAGTTAAATGTAAACTTAATGTTATGGGTTTGTTCACTGACAAATTCTGAGTATGAGAAATGATGCTTGCTTTATTAAACGCCACTAATTATTTTCTAAAAACACTTTAAATACAACAATAATGAAAGCAACAATGACAACAGATCTATGGACTTTTTATGCAAGGGTTTGTGCATGTCATCCTGTAGGTCTAGTCTTTTTTTAAAACACTCACCAACCAAAGGGATGTAAGCCATTTGGGTCATGTGTCTGGATCTGTCATTCCAGTTAGATGTGAATGACAGCAGTTGATATTAAATGAAGTGCAATTTCTTACAAAACAGAAAAAGGGTTGTTTACAGTTGTTTTCATTGAGATTGTATTATCAGCATAGTTCAAGTAAAACGTGTACCTGAATAATAGGGCCTTTCGCACCGCTTTAGTTCCAGAACTAAATGTACAGTACTAAAGTACTGGGAATGTCCAGTCAAACCAAATGCCTTAAAAAGCGGTCACATTTAATATTCTGCAGGCAAAATCATTTCAGTAGGAATCCATGCACACTGTGGAGAATCAGATGGCAACCAGTTTTAACTTTAAATATAATGTGGGGGAAAAAATAAATAAATAAAATAATGGTTATCAAATGAAAGATTATTGGTGTATGTTTACAAGATAATACTATTTCAGTCTTTCTTCAGAATTACTTGCCATTTCTTTATAATGGCTTGTATAAATTTACTAGCATATTCTGAGTGAAACTTGTTTCATCATACAGCTTTTTTTTTTTCAATGTATGCTCAGTTTATGGTAAAAGTTGTTGTAGCAACCTAATAATTAAAGTTGGCCTGTGCTTTCATCAGACATAATATATCGTGTTCTATATAATACTTATATTTTTCTAAGATCAATAAGCTTGCACTTTAATTAAGCTGAACATTAACATTGAATTATAGTGATGAAGAACTCTCTTACTTTGTCTAATTTTTGTATCAGTTTGTTGAACCAAATATATATATATATGTTCTTTTTTTTATAGAGTTACTTCAGTGCACCATAAAAAGATGTGAGTTGGAAGAAGGGCACATATAATTATATTGATATTCACTTATCATATTTAAATATCATATTTTATTAAATTCAATTTTTCAAAAAATCATAAAGGGAAAAATATTATGATATAATAATCTCACACAGATATTGTGCAAATTCTAAGTTAACTCGAAATTGCTTTGATGTCACTAAAATGTGAAAGAAAGAAAAAAACAAAAACAAAAAAAACACAAAATTCTTTATTTCTAAAAACTAGATATTTCAGAAAAGGTTCACTGCACTAAAACAGGCAATATCTGTATTATCAAATGGTTTTTATATTTTATATAGAATGAATGTGAGTAATACCTTTATTGTTAAATGGGTTATTTGCATTAAAGCTGAATGACCAACATGCTTTCTGAAATTAGTTTTGCTTGTTGTGGACATAAGGTGGCTTAACTGACAATGTTTTCAAATGTCAGAGAATTTAAAGGGAAAAAAGGCAAAAATAGTTTACACATAGTGCATTGATGCATGAGAAGAACTGTTGTTTCTATGCCGGGCTCCTGCTGTGAACAGGCTGCCTTTCATTGGTTCATTAGGACTGTGAATATGCGGGCGGTAAAGCAGCGTGGGGGCGGGAAAGCGCTTATCTCTCTCTGCTGCAGCTCCCCTGGCACAACAAATTTTCCTGAATAGTCTCACTGGTATAGAAGGATCAGTTCACACCAGCTTCCTGCAATCTAAACCAGATATGTGCATTCTTATTGGCAAGATCTGCTGTCTCATATTGCTGATTTGTTGCTCATGCATCATTATAGTTAACACCATGTTAAAGAAATTCAAAGATATGAAAATGGTTATCATTTATTCACCCTCACGTTGTTCCAAATCTGAATGCTTTTCTTTATTGTGAAACACAAATTATATTTTGAAGCATGTCAGTGACCCAACATTGGGCCCCATTGACATTCACTGAATTGTCCAATTTTTTTTTTTTTTTCAAAATATGAATCAAATATTATTTATGCAAATGTATAATAATATATTAATAATTAATATAATTAATTATTATATTATATTATATTATATTATATTATATTATATTATATTATTTTCAGCCATACATTGAGCTGCATGACACAGTTTTTCACTCACTGTGGCTGCACATCTCTGTGGGTGTGCAAGCCCTATCAGGCATATATCAGACATATTTCTGACAATCAGAGCACATGTCTTCTCTCTCCACAGGAAGAGCCTTACGTGATGTTCAAGAAGTCAGATAAGCCGCTATACGGTAACGATCGCTTCGAGGGCTACTGCATCGACCTGCTGCGAGAGCTGGCTGCCATCCTGGGCTTCACCTACGAAATACAACTGGTGGAGGATGGCAAGTATGGAGCGCAGGAAGAGAACACGGGCCAGTGGAACGGCATGATCCGAGAACTGATGGACCATGTGAGTCAGACTCCACAATCCAATACTGTTTTCATTGCACTCAGCTTGGCTCTTTTCCACTCATCATTCCATACAACCCTGCAAGGTTCAGCAAAATTGCTTCCCTTTTAAATCATCAATGTGAATATGCATTGACTTGGTCACCACCTGTCCCCCAAAGATGTTGAATTGGAATTTAAATTTGAAAAACTGGAAGAGGAATTTATTGAATAGCAATACAAAGAAATCCAACATAATCCCACAAAAGCTTTGTGACAAATAATAATCATTCATTTTGACTAATTATGTATTCCCTGATATGTTTCCCTAAACTGACTAGATTTCTTTCTCAGTAAATATCAAAACAATTAAAGCAAACTTGATTTCTTTCATACAACAACACAAAATGTGCATCAAATTCAGTGCAATATTAGTGTCTTCTAACATATTTAACACAATTATATGCTCAACATTAATATTCTGAAATATAAAAATTTAAATTAACTGTTTTCTATTTGAATATATTTTATGTAATTCATTCATTTTAATGTCACATGATCCTTCAGAAATCATTCTAATATGCTGATGTTCTGCTCAATAATAATAATAATAATAATAATAATAATAATAATAATAATAATACAAATTACAGTGGAGATCAAAATTTGAGAACAATCTATAAATACATGATTTTTTTCTGAAATGTTTTTAATCTTCATCGCTCAAAATTTGAAGGAATATTGGTATGCCACTGAACCACTAACATGTTTGACAAAATAACAAAGGCATTTCAACAAAAACCTTCATTTTGTGGAAAACACAGTTATCAAAATTAGACAACAGTAACCACTGTAGAAAGAAGATTACAACTACAATTTTGGAGGTTTACAGCTTTGAAAAATTAGTAGGACGTGTAGAGGCCCCTGCTTTGAATGACTTCAGCACATCCGCGGCTGCAGGACATCACTAGTTACTCACACTGCACTGGTGGGATCTTGGTCCACTATTTTTCCAGTCTCTTCCATAGTTCGGTGACTGTAGTGGGTTTCTTAGCCATATCTTTGTCGCCAGGGATTTTCCAGAGATTTTCAATCAGGTTTAGATCAGGGGCCAGATTCAAGAAAAATCTTTAGAAGAAATGTCTACTTAACTGCCGTTTTCCTCTTATTTTCTAACTTAAGAAAACAGTTAATAATAATTTAAATTTCCAAAAATTCTTCTTAAGCATATTCTTATATTTTTTCTTAAGATTGTTCTTTCAAATTCTTGAAAATAATCTTCTTAAAAATCATCGCAAATAACTTGGGATTAAGTTAAGTTAGGATAGCCTCAGACTTGTCTTAAATCCCAAATGGTAAGAATGATTTAGTGAATTTATTGGGTTATTTCAAATTAATTGTTATATTGAAGCATTACAACAACACTTACACATATAATACATAGTAGGACTATTAATAGGGATGTGCAAACGTTTTCTGAAGTGACACCGTTGACTGATAATGTAAACAATGGTCAGTCATGATTATGTGACGCGACTCTTTGCTGAATTCAAAATTCAGTAATACTCTGCAAAAATAAGTCAGATAGGGAGCTTTTAATTTTAGCCTATTAATACAACATAATTCAGTGCCTATGAATGCGGCCATACACAAGACGTGTTTACTGTAGCAGTAATCTGCAGGCAATGCAAAAAAAAAATCCTTTATTTATTATTATTGTTTTTTAGTTTAACAGTGAGTCTTCATCTAGAAACATCATTTATTAAATCAGATAAAGACTCATTTTCTTAAAAAAAAAAAAGTTCTTAAGAACATATTTGAAAACATCTTAAGAATTTTTCAAGAATTGTACTTAGGAACATTCTGACAAACTTCATGGAATTTATCTTAAGAAATGTCTTTACTTATTTCTTAAGAAGGTTTTTGTGAATCTTGCTCCAGGACTCTGGGCCGGCCACTTTATTATTTCAATGTTCAAGGAACTGCTTTACCCGTTTTGTATTGCGACGGGAGCATTGTCTTGCATGGAAATTGCAGGCTGACTGGGAGATGCTTGCAGGGAAGGAACTGCATGTTGCTGAAGGAGGTTCTGATAAACATTTGCATTGACCTGCCATGTAGCTGTATAAGAGGCCCAACTCCTGCTGCACAAAACATCCCCCAAAGCATGAGACTTCTTCCTCCACCTTTTACTGACTTCTTCACACATTCAGGGTTCAGTCTTTCCCCAGTTTGGTGCCAAAAAAAAATGTTTCCCATCGGACCCAGATCCATACGTTGTTCATCACTGAACTGGTGAGCAATTCCAGCTGCAGTGTTGAACCGATTCCCCATTGAGTGTCTCCGCATTATCCTGTCTTCTCATGCATTTGTCTTACGTGAACGACCAGCCTTTTTGGGGCACTTGAATGAATTAGCATCATTGTAAAGCTGCAATATTCTAGAAATCACAGATTTGGAATGACGACTTCTCTTATGGTGTTTAATTATTTGCGAGTACTCGCGAGTAGATTACATACAAAAACGCAAAGACGCGAATAGAGGCGAATTCGCTCCGGGCGATGTGAATGATGCGAAATGCTCGACGCGTTTGCCGCGAACGCACGATATTCGCCTCAATCGCGTCTTCCGCGCAAGTTAAAAAATGTCAACTCAAGCAGAAAATTCGCATGATGCGTCTCGCCCAAGCCAATCGCATCTCGCGCAAGCCAATCATCGAAGAGTTTCTTGACATGTCCAGTTGAATCAGACAATAGAAGCGAGCATTATTGCAGCCGTCTGTTATTATATAGGTCTGGAGCATAGAAAACAATTAAAATCAGTTGTAGTGGTAGTTGTATGTTATTAGCACGGATACAGAGATGCTGCTATCAATAATAAAAATAATAGTAATATCTGTGTATGTATACAGTAGTAAAATGTAACACACACACACATTAATACAGGATCCTAACGTTATTCATCCTCCTCTGGATGGTGCTGTGAACCCAGACACGTCGGCGTTTGGCTTTTCATTGTATTTGGGACTTTTTGACAACAGGTACAAAACAGCGATTGTAGTTATCTCCACCAGTGGCTGAAAGTGTCATCCCTTTGGCCTTCATCTGGACAACCTCCCGTCGCAGGGGTTCAGTCACCTTAGAGCGACCCGCCATCTTACAATCTCAGTGAAAATTAGAGGAATGCTGCCAATTAAATAGGGTTTGTTATATAATTAAGGAAATTAGCACCTGGTGCCAGATTAACAACAATGACTTGGAAGTATCTGTAAGTGTTCTCTAATTTTGATCTGAGTTCTTGTTCAAATATTTCATTTAAGGGTAATGTTGTGCTGCAGAATACAATTAATTTATGAAATATGCTTAAAAAACTGCCCTTCTACTCCTGTTAGCATAACTTCAAATTGGACTGAGCAGTGACCTTGAAATTTAGGAAATTGTAGGTTGTTCTCTAATTTTGATCTCCATTGTAATTATCAATGTTGAAATCAGTTGTGCCATGTAATATTTTTGTGGAAACTGATAGCACTTGAAGCACAGCATTTATTTAAAATCTTTTGTAACATTATACAACTTTCATGTCACTTTTGATCAGTTGAATGTGTCCCTGCTGAATAAAAGTAATATTTTTTTTAATAAATACATATAAAAATAAAAATAAAAAATCTTACCCCAAACTTTTGTATAAATTTCTATAATTGGCTTTTCATAGTCATCTAATGTTTCTGAATATATCCTATATGTTGTGTGTATGATAATATGTTTATCATGTTAATTCATACTGAAAAATAAAATAAAATTGTATTATAAAAAAAAAAAAAACTACACAGCGGTTATATACATTTATCTGAATTATCTATAAACTAAAATTTTTATTTTGCCTCCTCATTTGCTGCCTCGATTCAGATTTAATTAGATTATTAGGAAATTGTAGTGTAATGTATAAGGCATTCCTAATTCAATTCAGGATGGTGCACGATCCTGACATATTTCCACCCTGCTGCAGAAGGGACTTGTCAAGATTATACAATGAAAGTAGATGCTTTCAGAGTAGAGAGGAAACATATGAAAATAAGATTAACAGTGTGTGTGCGCACAGCAGATGGTATGAAATGCATTAAAATAAAACTCAAGCACATACTGCCGAGGGGACACAAAGTGAAAAATCTGGCATTAGTTTTTACCCCCATAGAGCTTATTAAGCACACACACTTTCACAAACACACACACACACACTTGGGAGCAAGCACTGCCCTTCGACACCCTCATTAGACTCCACAAAGACTAAGACAGGAATAAACACATTGCTGAGAAAAGTGCTGCACACCTCATACTCAACAACAGTATCCATTGCTCCAACCAATACATCAGACATATCTCTTAGTCACTGCTCCTCAATTGGTCATGGTCGGATCGTCTGGTGTGAAAGCGGAGGGTGTGTGTGTGATGTCGTAACATTCCCCAGCTACCCCCCCACAAGACGAGAGCAGGACAGACTGTAATTGGCCTTGACAAGCTTTCAGAGCAGTCTGGAGTTTGCAGTTTGCCAGTACATTGATGTGCTAGAGATAAAAATATCTTGTCAAAGGACTTTAGAAGAAAAAAAGGAAGGTAGCGAGACAACATCTGCTCACTTCTGGCATTAATTTGCCCCCTCTGGGAATAATTATAGACAATCCAATAATTCTAGACGGAAGCCTTTATTTTGACTGAAATTATACCAATTCTAACAGTAAAAGTAGTGAAATTGAACTAAATGTCAGTTTTAGGGGCACAGCCGTCTTAGCCGGTGTCAGCGTTTCAACAGCAGACCCTCCATCAGTTCTGGAGGAGGAATAACGGCCTTACTGCGTCAGAATGGATTTTACCGGGTATAATCTCAGATTCACAATCATACTGTAGTCAAACTATGAATCCTCAGCGCTTGCCTTGAAAATGTGTAATTCAAATGTTAAGACATATGCCTTTACAATAAGTTTGAGGGCTCAAAACTATTATGCAGGATTTAAAAGATTGTATAGTGTAGACCAGGATTCCTTAGCCTTGTAGATACTTTGTCATTTGATTGCTTTCTGTTTTATTTTGAGTTTTAGAGACACGAATCAGAAAGATAAAGTTATTCATAATAGGAATGAATGAGTCTGGGATCCGTGTAAAAACAACTTCACTGTTGAGTTTAAAGCAACATTCTCAAGTTTAAATTTGAAATTGTTCATTTGAAAAAGCTTGATGGTTTCCATAAAACAAATACAATTAAATAAAAATAAAATTAAACAGCAAACCTGTTTTAGTTTTTTTTACAACATTATTACAATAATAATAATAATAAGCACCAAGTCAGCATATTAAAATGATTTCTGAAGGATCACATGACACTAAAGACTGGAGTAATGACTCATTTACATCAAGATCAATAACTATAAAGATAACTATATTAGCATCCACACCAATGCACAATAACTTTATTTTATTTTATTTTTTTATGCGCACACTGCAGTTTTGTCATCTGCTGCTTTGAATGCTCAAGCTCTTTAAAACAGGATGGATTTTTATTGGCTGTCAATCTTTTTATCAGCTGGAAAGTAATTATATAATTGTATAATTATATAAATAATTGTAATACAATTTCAGAATATTACTCTTTTACTGTATTTTTGATCAAATAAATGCAGACTTGATGAGCACAAGAGACTTCTTTCAAAAATACATAAATAAATAAATAAATAAATAAATGTCCTGGCCACTCTTTAGTTTGTTGACCAATTCTATAAATAACTATTAATTATGATTTTTGCCTCAATAAAATCCAAATTTGCTGCTTATTAATAGTTATTATGATAGTTGTTAAGTTTAGGTATGGTATTAAGTATTAAATTAGGTATTAAGGGATCTAAAATATGGTCATGCAGAATAAGGCATTAATGTGCTTTATAAGTACTAATAAACATGCTAGTAATATGCATGCTAATAAGCAGGTAGTTAATTGTGAGAATTGGTCCTTAAAATAAAGTGTTACCAAAAATCTTACTAACCACACATGTTTGAACAGTAATGGACTGTATATAGGCCTACGTACACCTGTGAAAAGCTGCATTGTTATTTCACATCTGTTTACACTGGACACGAGTGAAGAAACACATCTGAATTTCTCCCATAAGCTGCTTGCACTAGAAGCAGAACAGAGTAGACAGTATTTTTTTGCTTGCTGGTTTTTTTTCTTCCCTTTCCTGAGAATGTACAGTGGTATAAGCAATGCAGCAGAATCTCACCAGTTTACACATTTCAGCCCTGAAATGGTATATACAGTCACACTCCTTATTGATATGCTAAGAAGACATGGTTTTGATTATTGCAGCTGCGGTTGTCACAGTGATGACAACACCAGGCAGGCCACAAAAAAAAAGCAGGGCCATTTCTAAGCATAAGCAAACAAGGCGGTTGCCTAGAGCGTCATTATCTGCCTTCCGAGGCAACAGCCAATAAAAATGGAACTCCATAATTGACTGATCTGGAACACTCTACACAGACTGCAATTTGTTTAGCCTAAAATGATCAGTATAATAATAGAGCCTACCTTTTGCCACATTATTTGCATTGGGAGAGTTCCTAGTATGCCTTAAAATGCTTGGCTTGCAGATTTAATATTATTTATGTTTTATTATTTATTTATTTATTACTTTATTTACTTAGTTTATTATTATTATTATTATTATTATTATTATTATTATTATTATTATTATTATTATTATTATTATTATTATTATTATTATTATTATTATTATTATTATTATTATTATTATTATTATTATTATTATTATTATTATTATTATTATTATTATTATTATTATTATTATTATTATTATTATTATTATTATTATTATTATTATTATTATTATTATTATTATTATTATTATTATTATTATTATTTCCCCCAGTTTGTTGTGTCCCTCCCCCTCCCCCCAATATAGATGTTACATCACTTTGAGTATAGACAACTTTGTTGATTACAATAGGATTGATTTAGTTTGGGGTGCATGCATATTAATAGTAAATCAATTTAATTTTAAAAAGGCACATTACTTATTCTAAATGTGTTTTTTTTTTTCAGAAAGTAATCTGATTACATAATTATACTCATTATTTGTAATCCTTAAGTCTAAAAACGTAGGTGATAGGTGATAAGAAAATAATTTGATATTGGTAAGGAGATGGTCCAACACACTCTCATAATAATTAATAACTATTTTACATTTTGGCGAATTAGTACATTTTATTTGTATGTTTTCAAACAGTCTCCCTGTGCCCCAATGGAAGTTCTAAAATGTGTTTTGTACGAATGAAACGGTACGAAATCACCACCAATTCATCAAAGTGTAAAATAGTGACGTTTTTGTACAAATTAAATTCCACAAATTCACCACCAACTCATCAAAATGTTAAATAGTAAAATTTTTTGTACAAATTAAATTGTACAAAATCACCACCAATTTGTCAAAACGTAAAATAGTGATGTTTTTGTACAAATGAAATCGCACAAATTCACCACCAGTTCATCAAAATGTAAAAGAAGGGACATTTTCATATAAATTAAAATCTCCACCAAATTGTCAAGAACAAATTCACCACTAATTCATCAAAACGCAAAATAGTGACATTTTTGTACAAATAAAACTGTAAGAATACAGTACACCACCAATTTGTCAATGTAAAATAATTAAATTTTTTCATGAGATTAGGTTTGACAGTCATAACAATTTCCAAACTGCAAATGAGTCCCATTCGGTCAACCTTACAATTTTTTTTTCATGAATTGTTGGAAATTGGTGTGCATTTTAAGATATTTTAATTTACAGTAACAAAAATGACCAAAGAACGCAACATATCAAACTCAATGGAAAGTTATATAATTTAAACCTAAAGGCACAATATGTCATTTTCGCCGCTAGAGGGCGCATATTCAAAATAAACAAAGAGACAAAGGAGTAGTTTCATGACGCCGTGACTGAGTGTGGAATCATGGGAGTTGTCGTCATCCCCACAGCCGATGCAATCCGACGGGACTCGGACAGAAATCATGTTCATGGATGAGCTAATGATTTATTAACGTAGTAGAATGAAGCAGGGTGAGGCTGAAAGACTGGAAATCGAGGGGTTATGACGTCATTGGCAGGCGATACAATGACACTATGGACACGGTCCGTGTCACTAGTTAAAATTGCTTATTTCTCTGGATTTAAACATTCTTCGAAACATTTGGGATAATGTAAGTACACAAGTCAACAAAATATATAACACTGTTCTAGTGGTTTTTGGATATTTTAATAAAACATCTTACATATTGTGCCTTTAATTTATGTAAATGTTCATATGTGGACTAAAGGTTAGTCAAACTGACTCTGAAAACGTATGCTAAGAGACACAGGCTATTTCTGCTTCTGACAGAGAGCCAACAGCGGCAGACCTGTGTAAAACTTTTAACCCCCTTAATTTTCCCTTTTTTTATAACTGCTATTTTCATATTTTAGTCTACTTGGGTAGCTGAGAGAGTGGATTCGGTTCAGCGCTCTTCCGGTCCCTTAGACCCAGTAAATCACGAAAGGCTTTAGTAAGTGCTGAAACAGTAGCAGGTAAATCAAGAGAGAGAGCGCGAGTCCACGAGAGGGCTTTAAATTTCCTCTTAAACGCTGTGGGGCAGAGTGTGTGATGTGTAAAAGCCCTGTTTTCTTCATTTGATTTCCTCTAAATGCTTCTGCTCGCCCTGATTTACAGCCTATCGCTCTTTTCCCTGTGCGTTATTTGTTGGCAGAAAGCTGATCTTGCAGTGGCACCCCTGGCCATCACGTACGTGCGGGAGAAGGTCATCGACTTTTCCAAACCCTTCATGACGCTGGGGATAAGTATACTGTACCGCAAACCCAACGGCACCAACCCGGGGGTGTTCTCCTTTCTCAACCCCCTGTCCCCTGACATCTGGATGTATATTCTGCTCGCTTACTTGGGTGTCAGTTGTGTGCTGTTTGTCATAGCCAGGTAACATACCTTCCACATATATAGACATAACCCCACGTCATAACCTCGTCTCATTAACATGTTTTGCTAACTGAAGAAGTTCACTCTTAGAGTTAACTAGTGGCCTTAAAGGAAAAGTTCTCCCAAAAATGAAAATTCTGACATTATTTACTCATTCTCATATTGTTACAGATCTGTATGACTTTTTTTTCCACGGAACACATAAGGTCAAAATTTCAAAGCAAATGGGCCTGACAAGATTCAAAATGATTAAAAGCATCATAAAAGAAGTCCTTACGACCCATGCACTATATGCTATATCTTCTGAAGACATGATAGTTTCGTATAAGGAGTAGATTTATAATATAGACTATCCAGTCTCATTGGAAAAACATGCCTCTACCTACATTTCTGCAAAACTCAAAAAATGTATCTGTACATGCAAATTGCTGCAGTTTCCAGTTAAAATTAACACTAAGGCAGTAAAACTCTGACAGCTTTTATTCCTTTTCACACAAACTAATTTTCCTTGCACAATATTATGTTATGACTTAAAATGATTTTAAACCTGCAGTATAGTACTTAATTTCTGTGTCGCCACAAGCACGTATTTCCAATGAGCCTGGGTTGAATATAGAGCACAAGCCGTATGGACTATGATGCTCATTTGGCGCTTTTTTGTAATTTTGGAGCTTGTCAGTCCCAACATCTATTTATTTTAGTTGGGAAAAAAAAATGTTGGACCAAAATGAGCAAAGTTGTAAATTATGACTTAGGTCAGGGGTGTTCAGTCCTGCTTCTGGAGGGCCAATGCTCAGAGTTCAGCTCCAACCAGCTCCAACATACTTGGCTGGAAGTTTCTAATGAGACTGAAGACCTTGATCATGTGCTTTAGGTGTGTTTAATTAGTGTTGGAGCTCAATTCTGCAGGACAGTGGCCCTTGTAGGATCAGGTTTGGACACCCCTGACTTAGGTTAACTATTCCTTTAAGAATCCCAAATGGCAGTCTGACAATATTTACATGATGAAATGTCATATGCTTTAGGTGTGTTTAATTAGTGTTGGAGCTCAATTCTGCAGGACAGTGGCCCTGTAGGATCAGGTTTGGACACCTCTGACTTAGGTTAACTATTCCTTTAAGAATCCCAAATGGCAGTCTGACAATATTTACATGATGAAATGTCATGAGATTCAGCTCAGTCGTTTCCTGGTATAAAAATATAGAAATATTAAATACCTGCAGGTGTGAACAGGAGATAACTAAGAGTTAAAAGAGAGAGATAGAGAGAGAGAGAAGCACACACGTAGTAAACGCATGAGAGAGGAACTGTAAGGGTTGCTTTGGTCTTCCTGTCTTGACGCAGAGGAGCTACAGTATGTGCCTCTCATCAGATAATGCACACTAGCACAAACCATAAAAGCAAAGATACAAAATCACAGTTTCAAGACAGTATGTGTGTGAAAGACAGAAAATAGGTATGTGGGAGTGTTCAAGTGTGTGTGTGAGTGAGCATTTTCTGGTGTGAAACGCAGCCTCCCCCCATCCCTCGCTGTCCCTACTGTGTCTATTTTGTATACTTTTCTTTTCTGATTGGGTCTTTCCACATCCTGCTTCATATTTCCTTTGGAAAACTGAGATTATATGACATGTAATGCTACAAAAATGTATATTCACATTTCCAAAAATTGGTAGAATAATTTTATTTATTTTTTTACAGTTGGTTGAAGACACTAACAACTTAGAAATCTTTGGGCAGCGGTGAACATCTAAAATGTTGTTTGCATGATATGCTCCTGTTTTGGAGACTTAGAATTAAACCCCGGAAACTGTAGTAAATACAATTTATCCTAAAGCTTCACTGTTTAAAATAAAGTAATTTTAGGACTTAATTTATGGATATCACACTTCATTGTTTATAGTAAGTAGACATTACAGACTAATTGTCCCTTAATTAAAGGAAATTCTGGGTTAAGTGCATGTTAATATGTCAATTAGAAAATAATTTCGACATGTAACTCAGTTTGTAAAGACAAACAAAAATATAGCTGCAAGGAGCAGTTAGCAGAACTGTGTATAGAAAAGTACTCTAAAAGAGCAGAATGGACCTTTTCATATATGTTCATAGCTTTAAAATTGATTATTTTATACCTGATAGGGCTCATTATTTCACAGCTCGAAATCGACATCTGTAAGTTCATATTTTTCCTCAATTCTCCCAAACTGGCAGATGTCGGATGCCATCTTTTTTTGCACCCATGAGTCAAAAACTGCATACTGTACATCTCTCGATATGGAGGCTGTACAAATGTCGGTTGCCTTCTTCAACTAAATTTTATAAGATGAAAAAGGTTGTTTTTTTTGTTGTTGTTTTTTTTTACGCGTTACTGTAATCTAATTACTTTTTCTGGTAGCACAGTAATGTAACGCATTACATTTTAAATTTGTGTAATTTGATTACAATTGCTAAAGTCAATATAATTATGTTACTTATGTTACAAATGTAGTGTTAAGAATTGTTTTTTTTCACATTTCACGTTTTGCGCGGGGTCGATGGAGGCACCGGCGCGATCACTTGCATTTTTTCCTGATAACAGCGAAAAGAACTTAAAATGCTCCACCATTTTTGATTGTACATATAAGTGTAATACATCATTTGAATCTGTGAAGGGTCAACTTTTATTTGTGTACACTCACAATATCAACAAAATATTGTGCTTTTGTAAAATAAAGAAAATATACAGGGTGCGCTTTCAGCTGTCTCAGTCTCCGCGAACTTCTTTCTGAAACACGTCACTAAAATGAACCAAAACTCGAGAATACTTCACACACAGACATGAGAGATATATCTATGGAAAGCTTGAAATGTCTGCTTTTAAATGAAGTAAGTCCCTTATCGAAAACAAATGTTCTCTGATGAAGTAATCCGAATGAAACCAAAGCAAGGTCCAGTCTTTCCCGTCTTGAGCTCATTATCTGTAATGTCAGATAATGAGCTCACGCGCGCTATTCATACGATAATCATCCACGTGAGACAAAAATCATGAAGGAACTTCTTGGTCCCTAATTGGAAATTTGTTTCTTGTCAGGTGGAGGATTTAAGTAAAAACTCTCTCAAAAGAGTAGCAGGGCTGATGTTTTGAATATTGCAAATGGAACAAATAGTCCCATAATTACAAAATGCAATTGGCTATTTTATTTTATTTATTTATTTTTTTTAGTTGAAATGATCTTTATTGATAGCTTACGTTTATTTATATTAGACCCAGAATGTTCCTTTAAATCTCTACATGCAGTACATTCTTAGAATAAATCGCTGTGATCGATTTTAAATGCATTGGTACTTTCCATTGGTCTTCATTTGAAGCATGGTGGGGAGAAATCCAAAGAAAAGACCTTATTTTAACCTTAAAACTCTTGGGTTGACCGCATTGAGCTGGTCTAACCCGAGAGTTTTATGGTTAATGCACTTGTGCTTTATAAATGTTACTGGCAATATGATCACACAAGTTTATAACAAGCTACAACTGTCATCTAAGTTGGTTCAGAATATGCACCTTCACCTAACTGCACTAACGTTAATGCTGGGTAAGTGTTCACCTTTCCAATTCTCAACTAGAGCACAAATAACCAGTACACAAATAAACAGCATGCTTTAACAGAAACACACAGCAGACAAGACCTAACACAATATAGTATTACTGTGTTTATGTGTTTGTCTCTTTGTACACATTTCTTTATGTGTGCATGTGCAACTGCTTTTGTATGTGCACTATAAAGCCGGTATATGCAGCAAACATGTCTGCGTGCGAGAGCGAAAGACAAAGCGAGAGAGAAAGAGATCACAGGGTGACATAATGGGGACTGGTAGAGGGTTTGCTAAGGCTTAGTCTCACCATGCAGTATTTAGAAACCTTCCTTCTGGGCACAGTATGAAAGTCAAATATTTATCCTCCTCTCAGAATCTGTAATGCATATCAGCAGTTGTTTTTATTCCTGTTGTTTTCCTCTCCTTACGAAAGTTTCTTCTCTTTTCTGCGAAAGCAGGTGATGAAACAGCTGAGGAAGTTTCCATTGAAAATGAGTTACACTTACTTATGATACTGGTTCTCAACTTTTGCTGTAAAACAAGTGTTGCCTTGATGCTGTAAATCATGCAGCTGATGCAGTACTCAAATGCTGCTTCTGAATCGAATGCTTAAAAAATAAATCACCCTTTTTTCTGTGTTCTGACAGTGAATGTGGTACATGTAAAACCATATTCTTATCAAAGGCAAGCTTATCTCACTATTTCATAATATATAGTAGAAATATATCTTGTAGATGTTTATTATATCTTATTTATAGTTTAAAGTTTGCAACCAGTTTTACTTATGAGTGAAACAAATGCGAGAATTCTGTCATTCTGGACCAGATTTTATCCATTGGAAATTGATTGGATTTTGAAAAGTAGGCATTACATACCACAATGGATGAGCCATATGGAAAATAAGCAAGATTCGTAAAGTCTGAAAATATGTTATAAAACCGTATCAGATGCAAAGCACACTATTTTGATGAAAGTTTGCAAAGACAACCTTTTTTATTGAGAATAACAAAACAAACACACCATAAATGATCATAACTTACTTTTTTATATTGCATAGTAACACAGTAACAGTTTCTGTCAGGACCACTATCGTCAAAGATGATTGACAATTAGCATACAGTTTGGATTGGCGGTATGGTTCCGTTCTGGGCAAGAACTCCCTGCGCATCCATGCAGCCTAGCATGGATGAGAGCAGGGAGAGCAGCGATAACCCCCCAGGGTAAACAGAACAGAACCAACATAAATGTTTAAGTTTAAATTAGTTAAAGTTCAATAATGTTATGTACACATTTTAGAATTAGTCTGATTCAAAGGAGAATCAGAAGGCTGAATCCTGACTGACAGAGGAGGAGTTGGGGATGGAGGAGGGTAATTAGCTATTGAGCAATGCGAAAACTGCGGATACTACTGCGGGACCTTATATATGAATGCT